TTTTTTTAAATTCTTTTCTGCTTTTTTTTTTTCAATATTATTGTACCAGGGGTATATGGTGACATATACAAAAGTTCTTAACAATGTATCATAGTGGAATTCACCCCCTCAGTAGGTGGGTGTTGAGTAAATAAAACTAGGTGGCACTGGGCAGCAAGTCAAGGCACTAGAGAATGTCCCCAAGATCTGTAGTCACGCTGTACCCAGCAAGATTTCTGCCTATACCACCAAGGAAAGAAGGGACTAGAATGGGTTCCAGCATGGAATAGGCAAGTGGGTTTGAGGAACTCTGTTTCCATCATGAAGAGAGATGAACTGGACACCTCCCCACATGCAGATGGGAGCTTCAACATCAGTGAGCCACACAGAAAGGCAACTGGTTGATTCCTGAGGCTATGTCACCCCCATGAAAATTAGGAGTGGGGGTGCAGGGGCTGATCAGTGTGCCATAGCGCTCATTCCGCTGTCTTTTTTTAGATAAAACTTTCTCTTTGCTGTAAGAAATCATTATTATAGTACTATATGAGAATTAACTGTTTGTTGTAGAATTAAATCTTTAAATGCCATCCAATGACTCTAATCAATATTCTATTGCAGTTTTGTTAAATAAAACAAACTGAACCTGCCCTAGAGGTCTGAAGGCAGGCCAAGAAATTAGAAACTCAAATTTAATTTCAGCTCTGCCATCAGTGCTATCCTATTCTCTGTCCCCCATTATTTATCTGTAAAATGGGTGTAGTAACACTTACAGGAAAATGTGTTAACTAGGACATTTACATAGTGTGTTTAAGAGAGTGAATTACCATGCCAGTGTTGAGTGCTTAAGACCACTCAACAGGTCAGAGGGTCAGTACGCATCACTGCGGCCCTGATTAGTCACAGACATACCTTCTTATGCACAGGCTGACTTTCAAAGGCACAGACCTTTAGTGATACTTTGAGACTCAATAATCATCACCAACAGAGCAACAGAAATCACTTAGGGAGCCTAACAGCTTCTGAAGTCAGTCTGAATTGCAGAGTGATTCTGGGAGTGCTGAGGAACCTGTTTCTCTCAACTCCTTATAAAATCAGTAGGATACACTGTCAGAGCTGTCCCATAATGGAACATATGGGAGTAAAAACATTGTAAGAATGACCTAAGTGTGACAATCTAACTTGAGATTCATTAAGGGAACAAGCAAACAAAGATGACCCAAGTGGGGGGTCTTGAGTTTAATTCTTTACTTTGAGACACTGACCAGGCCAGTTTACTTGTCTGGACTGTATCATCCCCACTGAAGTAAGAAATGTAAAGATGCCTAAAGACCACACCCATGGTGGTATACAGACACATCCCATTCTGCGTCATCCTGTGATTCACCAAAACAGGATCATTTAAAAATTCTTTGTAAACAATGATGGTCCAGAAGTTTCTTAAGAGAAAAAGAATATGCCATCAGGAGAGAAAGGAGCTACTTTCAGCAACTGTCTCCTGTTGTTTTTCCTTTATGAGAAGGAGGAATTTCATCTTCTGAGGTCAGTTTGGTCCTAAATATGCAGATGACTTTAATAGGGTTCTGTTACTAAGAAGTAGAGATAATGCAAATTAAGATATTTCTGGAGCCATAAACATTAAAATAAGCCAAGCTTCTTACTGAATTTTCCAAGACGAGGATGTCACATTTTAGCATAGTCTACAAAGCGTTTGGACTTCTCACACATACATCATGACAGAACCAGGCTCTGGAAATTTCAGTGAAGACCAAGCCTTTATAGTGCCTGACAACCACAGACAAACCTGATATGAGAGCTCAGTCTACAGTCAACAAACTTTTTCTGTAAGGTGCCAGACAGCCAACATTTTAGGCTTCTTGGGCCATATGGTCTACATTGCAATTATTCAACCTTGTTGTTACAGTATAAAAAAAGAGTCATAGAAAACATTTAAGAGAAGAGTGTGGTTGTATTCTAATACAATGTCAGGTTGGATTTAGCCCACAGATCATAGATAACCAACTCCCAGGCTATGTCCTTGAGCCCGAGAGTGGATTAAGCCCTCCCACGATTGACCCTTGGATTACTGAGGAATACAGTTTAGCTCTAAGGACTCTTGAGAAGATCAAGAAAGCCCAGAAGGTTAAAGGAAGGTTTATTCAGATCAATAGCATTCCTAGGGGAGCAAAGGTGTGCTAAATTCAATCTGCCTGTCCAGATCAGAAGTTGGCTGGGGTGTGGACGGAATCCCTGTTGTGCTAGACATAGATTCTTGAGATGGTTCTGAGACTTAAAGAAACCTGACATACGTGGGATCCCAGAGGTCTCTGCTAATTAGGAATGTGATGTTCAAGGGTGGTGGAGTTAGAAAGGCCAGTAAAGATCAAAAGGCCATTCAGGGGACAAATGAGATTCTTCACATTGGCTGGAGTGCTATAGTTATTTTCTTAATCACCAGATTCTTCTCACTGGAAAAAAATTTAAACTGAAATTTTAAGGACATGCATGTTAGTGACAATAGATCTTGCCCACTAATTATGAAAACAAATTTTAATGTAAGGGTGGGACTAAGTGCCTAAACTGGGCAATTTGTGTTTGGTGCTATTCTTACATGGGAATATAATTTAGACATAGAACTTATTTATTTATTTATTTATTTATTTATTTTGCACTACTGGGGTTTGAATTCAGAGCCTCATACTTGCTAGGCAGGTGCTCTACCACCAAGAACCACTCCACCATCTCTTTTTTTTGTTAGGTTTTTTTTTTTTTTTTTGAGATAAGGGTCTCGTGAATTATTTGTCCCAGCTGGCTTTGAACCGAGATCCTCTTGATCTCTGCTTCCGGAATGGCTAGGATTACAGCCATGGGTGCCTGGCTAGACATAGAATTTATTCTTAAGACTAAACTAACATGCAAATAAATATGATGTTAGTCACTGACCAAGAGTTTACTATCACAGTTTGTTGAATACAATTCTAAAAGTGTTTATGTAAGGAAGAAGGAAAATGAATCCAGAAGAAAAGAATGAAACAAAAGAAGGAATAGTTTTAAAAAATCATAAAAATGTGAATAAATCTAAAACAATAAGAGAATGATCTGTCAGGGAGTTTCTTTATTAGGAGGTCAGGGCATAATTTTCTGAGGAGGTGACATTTAAATGGAATGCTGAATAATGAGAAGCCAACTGTGCAAAGACTGAAGGAGACATTCCAAACGCAGAACAGCTGATAAGAATGTCTAAAGAAGGACTGTGTTTGAAGACCAGAAAGCAAGCTAGCATCATGAGAAATTCACGAGCAAGGGGGTGAACAGTAGGAAGTAGGTTAAACAGGTAAGAAAAGGTCTAATCATGTAAACAATAGGATTTGCCTTATATGGAAATGTCACACTAAAACACCCTATATAACCACAACAAACAAACAAAGTGTATTTTTAAAAAGAAGTTAAGTCAAAAGTTCCAATTACTCAGTGGTAAAGTCAAAATTCAAATCTCTGGGACTCCAGAGCTTGCATTTTTCCCAAAAGCAGTACCATTCCCCATGTTATGGACACCAAAGAGTTGCAGAGATGGTAGGTAAGTATCATTCTAAAAATGACTGCAAGGAAGTGCCGAGTGGGCACAGACCAGACAAATGAGGTCAATTTCTCTTGATCCAAACTAGTTTGATGGAAAAGATGCCTATGAATACCTTTCTGAACCAGAATCTGACTCACTGGGACCCAGTCCCCAGTCCATTCAATACTACTGTCAAAAAAGATGTTTTCTTTTTTTTAAATCATGGTACTTTCCCACTTAAAACTGTTTCCTCCACAAAATCTACCAGAAAGAGGCCCACCATTTCTGCTTGTCAGCAAGGCTCTTTCCAGCATGTCCTAGCAGTTCTCACGCTTTTGGTATCAGAGTCTAAAACTCTTAACATCTGAGAACCACAAGGGCTCCTTTGCGGGAGATATGTCTATTGACACTTATGAATTGACACTATTGACACTTATGAATTAAAACTGAGAAAATTTAAGATAGTTAATTCATTAAAAATCCTTAAATGGTTTTTCAAGTCTAATATCTAGCTTAATAGAAGATAGCCAAATTCCAGTATTTAATTTGCAGTGATATATTTCTTTGATTAAAGAATATGCAGAAAATCTAGTCTCATCCAGACTTATAGGTAGAAAAGGGGAGTACTTTAATAACCTTTTAGATAACTGGATATTCTTTTTGGTACTCTACCACAGCTTGATAAATGGTAGTTTCATAAAGGCTAGTTATAATGTGGTACTGGAAACCACACCAATGAACTTTTTGCAGGTGGTTACACTAAAATCCACTGGCCCATCTTACAGTTTGAATGGCTCTCTTATTCATGCATAATTTCCTAACATTTTGTAGGGGTCATGTGGAAATTACTGGCTTGCTGAGTTATGCAGATACTCTAAATATTGACACATTCCATTATGATATTAAAAAAGCCTCTTGCTAATTCTACCACCAATCTCATCAGAAAAATGTTTAAGTATTAGGAAGCTGTCAAAGTCATAGTGTCAGACACAAGTTTTTAAAAATTCTTAATTTCCTTTGAGAGTCTGAATTTTACCACTGACAATTAACATAGTCTGGTTTTTCCCTCCCTATAGCACCTAAGACTGTATCTGCCATGCATTCATATAACCACAGCTGGTCTGCCAGTTGCTTGTTCAAGGTGGTCCATGAAAGAAGGGGGCTAGGTAAGATCCCTAACTCAAACTATTTCACAAGGGCTTTTTCTTAGGATGACTCTTATACCTTTAGTGTGCAGCTGAAGTATTCTATGTGTACTCCCATTAAAAGGAAGGTAATCGAGAGTTGAGAACTAATAAATTTACATCAAGGACATTCCTTTTTGTTTTTCCTTTGGTGGTAGTACTGGGGTTTGAACTCACTGCTTTGCACCTAGCAAGCTCTGTATCACTTGAGCCACATCTCTAGCCCTTTTTGCCTTAGGTTATTTTTCAGATAGTCCTCATGTTTTTGTCAGGTGCCAGCCATGGACTATGATCGTCTTACCTATGCCTCCAGTGTAGCTGGGATAAAAGCTGTGCAACACTACACCTGGTTTGTATTGCTGAGATGGGATCTTGCTAATATTTTGCCCAGGCTGGTCTTGAACCACAATCCTCCTGATCTCTGCCTCCCAAGTAGCTGAGATTATAGGCATGATGTGCATGAACAACTGTGCCTGGCCAAGACATTTTTTTTTTTTTTGGTAGTACTGGGGTTTGAACTCAGGACTTGATACTTGATAGACAGGCACTCTAGCCCACTCGAGCCACACTTCCGGCCTGTTGTTGCTCTGGTTATTTTGAATAGGGCAATCCTCCTATGTTAAGCATCCTGTCATTAATGGGATGACAAGCACACACTGCTGTGCCCAGCTTTTTTCCATTGAGATGGGATCTCATCCTCCCTGGGCTGGCCTGGAACTGTGATCCTCCCGGTCTCAGCCTCCCAAGTAGCTAGGATTACAGATGTGAGCCACCAGTGCAAGGCTCCAAGAACATTCTTAAGTGAAACTTTTTTCTTTTAAATCCTAGCACGATATGGTGCTATTGCTTTGGTTTGTGCTGTGGTGCAAATAGTTTTACCCAGAACTGTTTTGGTACCATAGTCAATACAATAAAAAAGGAAACAAATATCTTACCATTTCTATTGGTTAGATTTCCATCACTGTGACAAAATACCAGAGACAATGAACTTATAGAGGAAAGGTTTATTTTGTGTGACGGTTTTAGAAGTTTTGGTCTATGGTTACTTGGCACCGTTGCCTTTGGGCCTGAAGTGAGGTAGTACCCTACAGTGGGAGCGTGTGGTAGAGGAAGCTACTCATTTCATGGTGGCCAGGAAGGAGAGAGTGAGAGTGGCGAGAAGCAAGGGAGGGAGGGGAGAGGAGAGAGAGAGAGAAAGAGAGAGAGAGAGAGAGAGAGAGAGAGAG